AAGCCAGACAAGCTGCCCCTGCCATACTGGATGGAGAACTCTGTGCCATTCTTGACATATGTGCTCGACTTCTTTGAGTTGTAGCGGTGATGAAACCCTGATAAGAGAAAACCATCAATCATACTTAAAATTCATGGATTTGTTGGACTTCATACTCCTGCATACATGGGGAGCTGCCCAGTGAGCTGCTCCCAGGCCCCTGAGAGGCCCCTGCCATTATCCACCACATATGCTGTCAAATCTAAATGAGGATGTGGTTCCAATAAGTCAATAGCACTCTGTCTCTGACTGTTGAGTGCTATGTAAAAACCACAGTGTATTTTCATAAAATCTTGTGGAAAGGTGGTGCACAGGGCAGAGAAAGAACCCATCAAACTTTGGCATTAAAGTTACTAAAAGCTTTTGAATCTGAAGTCCTTTTTTCAAAAATGACAAATAAATAAATATTCAAACTCACAGCAGGCAATATCCAACACGGAGCAGTGAATGGAGGGGACCCACAGGTTGGAGGAGCCAGTGTCAAACAGCACAGTGAAGTTCTGTGGTGGGGTGCCAATACTTATAATCCCATAGTACTGAGACTAAGGAGACAAAACCAGGAAACAATGCAGTACCGACAAAGTTAAGCAGGATCGTGCAGGAGTTACTGCCAATATAACAGTTTGTCTTTCAGCTGTACTAGTTCTCAGCACAAAATTAATCTTAGCATTAATCTCAGACTTTTTTTTCCATCCCCCAAGTTATTTCAAATACAGAGCAAAGAAGAAAAGGGTGGGAAAACATGTGTTATCACAGGTGCTTAAGTCTAATATTTACTTAATTTAAAATCTCTCTCTCACAGGTTAAAATATGCGATTGACCCTTGAATAAGACCTGCACACTAACATTAGGTGTATTTACGTTCATGCATGAACTGTTAATTTGTAACTTTTAACTGAAGTGTCCTGCAGGTGATACATACATCCAAGAAGTTGGTCAGCCTTTCCACGGGCAGCTGTGGGGATGGAGCGCTGTCCGGTGATCCGGTGCTCTTCGCCAAAGCCCGCAGCTCATCCACGGACAACCCATTATCGCTCATCAGGCGGCGCAGGCTCCTTGTTTTATAAAGAGGAACTCTGCCATAACAAAACGAGATTTAATTAAAGGATGCGCGCGCGAGTCACGCGCGCAAAGATGCAGCTTCCTGGTGCTGTCCACACGGAAACCCTTCTCACACTGAAGCCTCTCAAGTGGACAAAACTGGCAGTAAATAATATTTTTAAGTACACCTGCGACAGGTGCTGCCTCAGACCGGAAAGGACAACAGCACGCGAGCATTCATGAATCCTTATTTAAAGTCAGAGGGACGGATAGCAATAGTAGCACGCGCAAGTTACATCACTACTGGCAGATAAATGTTATTTACCTCAGGATGGCGGTGCATTGTGCTAGCAGCAGCACCCCGGCCACACAAAATATCTGCAGTCGACTCATTTCTGACCTCCAGAGTAAAAGTCCACTTAATTTCCGAGGCTAATGGACGCAGAAACGCGGAACCGTCTACTTCAACTGACGCACTAAAGCTGAGTGAAAGTACTTCGATAACATCCGCTCTCACTCGGCTTTGTCCGCTCTGCGGCTCCGCGGTTGGAGGGCAATAATGAAAAGGAAGCTGCCATTGGTTGAAGAGTGCGGCCGTCACTCAGAGCTACAAACAGGCGCACTAGGTGTGTGACGGGTCACGAGTTCTACTCTGCTCACTGCGCATTGCACAGATGTGTTAAAATAATGGGAAACGTCCCACAAAAAGCTCGGTGAATAATCTGTAAACATGCAGTTTGTTACTGGCTGTTGGTGAAAGGCTACTTTTGATGAGGCTCCTCAAACACAGACCTGACTAAATAGAGTTAGAGAGATGTGTGTGTCAATTGAGTTTCAAAAACATGGGCTCCTGCTGCAGTTTCATCTTTGGTAAAGGCACTGGTGTTTATAAGATAGTTGGTTTTTATAAATGCTTGACATGGCGAGTAGTATTCAGCCTGTGGTTTTTGATAAAATAGGGAAGTAACCAAGCCACGAGGACTCGATTTTTTTTTCTTCTGCTGCTTTTAGAAAGTCATTCCACAGTGTCCAAATGACTGACCGCTGCTTTTAGAAGCTCACCATTTAAAGTCCTACTCAAATATGAATATGCACACTTTTGGCTTGTTTTCACTTAGGACTGTTACCTCACAGTTGAAATTGTTGGTTGGATACACTGTTTTAGGTATGTTCAAATATATTAAACATCCATGTAATTATTGGAGTAAAAGGGTAGCATTATTAGACACTTATCCCTACTGTTTATATAGGCAGGGATGTGATGATGTGTGGTGCCCAACAGCACGTCATATGACAGATAATTATATAACAAAATGGAAGTAGCTGTAATCTGTGATCTAAACCCGAGTCCTAAGGTGAACAGTCCAAAAACCAGGGGAGGCTGGGAAATGTGCAGGAGACAATGTCCGTGATGTGAATTTCCCATTCCACTATAAACCAAAGATGTGCTATTGGATTAATATCTAGTGACAGCTGAGGCCATTTAAGTACAGTGAATTCATTGTCATGTTCAAGAAACCAGTTTGTGATGATTTGATTTGAGCTTCATGACAGATATTCAGCTGGAAACAGACATCAGATGATCGATACACTGTGTTGAAGAAGGGATGGACATGGTCAGCACACTACTCAGGCTGTTCAGTTTAACTGATGCTCAGTTGGTGTTGTGGGCCTCAAAGTGTGCCAAGAAAATATTCCCAACGTCAAAAGGTAAACCACCGAGCTTGAAGGCTAAACCGCCCACAGGGGCGAGCGGGGAATTTATATATATATATGATTCAGCTCTCGCCCTGGCGGGCGGTCTATCCTTCAATCTCAGGTCCTCTACCAGAGTTGTGGGAGCTTGAGGGTCCTGCGTAGTATCTTGGCTGTTCCTAGGACTGCGCTCTTCGGGACAGAGATCTTTGATGTTGTTCCTGGGATCTGCCGGAGCCACTCGCCTAGTTTGGGAGTTACCGCACCTAGTGCTCCGATTACCACCCTCCACATTTTTTCACACTCTTCTCTGAGCCTTGGTATTTCTCGAGCTTCTCGTGTTCCTTCTTCCTGATGTTGCTGTCATTTGGAACCGCTACATCGATCACTACGGCCGTCTTCTTCTGTTTGTCTACCACCACTATGTCCGGTTGGTTAGCCACCATCATTTTGTCCATCTGTATCTGAAAGACCCACAGGATCTTAGGTCGGTCATTCTCCAAACTGGCAGAAATCTGAGAGATCCCATGATGAAGCATGAGAAACAGTTGCTGTCAAAGCAGGTGCACAGCTGGCCTGTCAAACAAGTTTTAGATTAAATCCCCTGCACAGACAAGTGTGTTATCGACTGACAGGTATACAGGCATGGGAAAAAAACAAAAACTAAAATGGCCAACACACACACACACACAAACGGGTTTGAAAGTTGTCTTTAGGTTACTATCCAATTTTTCATCTGTCTAGAAACTGGATCCACCCACATATTTGCGCCTCCATCATGACGCTGGTGGGAGGAGCAGGCACTGTGGCGCGACAGGTGCTACCAGTACAGCATCCAGTGTGTTAAAATCCTTTAACACACTGGAGTCATGAAGGAAAATACAAGGAATAGCAGATAAAGTTACCTTCTAAACGGGAGCACGGTGGTAAGAATGGCCTTTTCTTGTGTTTATTTATTTTATTTTTATAGAATTAAAAGAATATTCTATAGAAAATATTAATATTATAGAACATTAAAAGGCCTAAAAGCTACATAATGTTACAAAGAAAATGTCACCATCACCAAGAGTTTGAGCATGAGTTGAAGAGCTATCACCTATACTGCAGCTTATACAGTTAAATACTCAGTTTAGTGTAAGATATAATAGATATAGTAAAACATAACTGGATCCCATGTTCCAATTATGTTTTGGAACATAATTGTTCATTCAAAGAAGATTTCACACATCTTTTTAACCAGACTGCAGATGTGTTTGCAGGTGTCGCACGCTTCCTGTAAAGGCTTCTGTTAGGAAAGACACATTCGTTTTTATCAGCGATGCAAGTCACACATAAGCTAACTTGTCATTGCATTCTAGGCATGTATTGTTTTTTCCTTGCACGAGTCTGATCATTTAACTGCATAACCCAACTTTTCTGCTATAACCCATGAGAAAACAAAACAAGTATTTATAGTCTAGCTGAGGAAGACAGTATAAAAGTATTAAATAATTACAGGAAAGCCGCGGTTTGCTGCAATTTGTCTGTAAAGATGGCCAGTTGCAAGTAGAGATTGCATTGGACTGGACTTGAAAATAGCTTTGCCTGAAACAGAGCTAATAAAGTCAGAGAAAATCATCTAAAATAATGTCTAATGCCATTATTAACGGCAGTGTCAGGTGTGGCTGAACATCAGGTCCTTAAAAATATGACATAACAAACTTTTTCATCTCTAATCTTGACACGTGTCTTTAAGATTCTTGCTAAATCTAGAATGAAGGCCTTCAGTGGTTCACTGCTGTTCTTATAAGTGTGTTTTCCTGAGATATCAACAAACCAATAATCCTGGAGAGGGCCATAAGTGCATAACTGGCCCATGATAGCTGCTAAAATCCAATCCATAGACAGCCACATCATATGCACATGTGTAGTCTTATATGTTGTAGAGGTGGAGCTGGGGAAAGGAAGGTATTAAGTTAGGTTTTTGAAAGATTGTCAGGAGATAAAATGTATAGAAACTGAACTTAAAAAAAAAAAAAGGTAAAAAAAAAATCCCTTCCTAGCAGTTCCTGGTTAACAGAAGAATTTCTTGTAACATCTAATTATGAGTTGTGTTTTCCTGACAAATCAACTAAACAAATAGGCATTCTTTTTCCCTTATCAAAAATAATGAGTTTTTTTTTTTTTTCATTTCTGTCACGCTTTAAACCCCAAAGTCATCCAGTCCCTGAAGGACAAATGACACAATGGAGTCAGCCAGCTCAGATGAAATCCAACAGCCTATCTACGAAGACCCGGACGCTTTACTGGTAAAAACTGATTCACATTAACCTCCTGCGTCCATGAACTGCTGAGTCTTTATTTTTTGGGTGTTCACACTTCTAATTTAAACATTGTATCTATTCTCTAGAAGAATTCTGAACATTTATAGCAGTATAAAAAAATGGAATTTTAGGCCTTGTATGTGAATAAACAAATCTTTCAGCTTTCCTTTAATTAAGCTCAATATTTTTGTAATTAAACTGTTGCTTGTACAGAATGCAATGATTTGCAAATCCTGTGAACCCATATTTTATTCACAAGAGGGCAAACTATCATGCTGCTGTCTTCTCTGAGGCAAAGTGGAAAACCTTTTTGTGGTCAGACGAATAGAAATTTGGAATTCTTTATGGATAACGTGGATGCCGTGTTCCCCAGACTGAAGAGGAACAGAACCATCCGCCTTGTTATCAGCACTTCAACAGTCTGCATTTCTAACGGGTTGCATTAGTGCCTATGGCATTGGCAGTCTGCACGTTTAGAAGGACAGCGTCGATGCTGAACGGGATGCACAGGTTTTAGAGCAACATATGCTCCCATCCAGAGTTTCCATGACATTTCAGCAGATAATGCTGAGCCACACATTGCATCTAATAGTGTACCATGACTTAGTAGTAGAAGAGTCCTGGTTGTGAACTTGCCTGCCTACAGTCAGACAACGTTTCATTCCCAAAAGTCTAGCAGACGTTTATGAAGAAGAGGAGCTGGTAAAAAACATGGCGCAATTTTTTTCTTAAAAATGGTATATTTCTCTGTTTAGACAGTTTTATGGATACTTTATTGATCCCCATGGGGAAATTACTTGTTTTAAACAGTTTGAAAACAATTTGACTTTATGAGATTTCTCAATCATTGCATTCTGCATTTATTTGCATTTTACACAGCGTCCCTGCTTGTTTGGCACTGGAGTAGCAGATAACAAAATGCTAATTGCCTGCTATTTTTGACAGCCTGATGACACACATGAAGCTCAACCAGAAATTAAAGTCAAGCCTGTACCAGCGCCCAGGTTGAAATTATATCAACAAACCAATAGCACCAGTAACAAAGCTGAGTCCTCCAATAAGGCTGGAAGCATAGCACCTACTGCGGTAAGTTGAGCTCTTTTTTTTCACTTAATCACATATTGGCTCATAAAGATAGCAGATACTAATAAGTATGTATTGATTCATTTCCTCTTTTTTGTGACCAGACTTCCAGTGGATCCCCTGTGGGCTATAAGAGGCCTCAGCCTGCTCGCCCTGCTCCCAAACCACCAACCAATACTAAAAAAAATGCTGAAAAACCAGCAATCGCAGAAAGCGCTTCAAATGCTCATTCACCCGTGATGGTAGAAAAGTACTTTTATCTTTAGAAAGAATACTTGGGGAACTATGCGTCCTTGTGGGTTTTGTGACAAGGAAGCTAATGCCTTTTCATGGTTGTTAGACAAGCTCCGTGAACATAAGACAAAAACACAAACTAAATGTGGACTTCTCAGAGTTGTGCTGACGTATTATATATAACAGGTCAGTGTTAAAACCACAGACCATATAGAAGAAAAGGTGTAGCCATTGTGACATCAGTCACTAGTTTTATTTTACTCCAGCTGGGGCCAGAATTGATCAAGATAGATATCATGCAGTGCTGGTAAAGACCAAAAACTCAGCTGCGAGGTGTTTAATGAGGTCACTGAACAAGCAAGCATCTATTTCTGTACATTTTCATGCCTTTTTGGAACCACATTAGTCACCACATGCAGGCTCCTAGAAAGACTGAAAGTTTAAGATACCATGAGTTGTATTCACTTTTCAAACTCACGGCCAAGCCTAACTTTTACATTCATTCTGTGCTAGTTACAAGAATCCAGAAAGTCACAGGAATAACTAATGGAGAACACAATCTGCATTTGATCAGGCCAAACCTATGTTCCATTTAGTCCTTTTCTCGCTATCCCTTTGTGAATTTGGTAATGTCTTTGAATGTTTATCCTGTTCAAAGGTCCTCTTCTTCAATACGTCTCTGATATGATCCATAGCTGACTCAATGACTGGAAGCTTAATTTTTTAACCTGAAAGTTTTTCCTAATGCTCTTCCCACTAGCGATGGCTTTTCCACAGCATTCCCACATAATCACTGTCTATTTGTAGATGTATTCTGTGATGACATTTAGAGTTTGTGGAGATGTCAATGGAAAATTGTACTTAGTAGTCAGTATAAGCTTTTAATGATATAAGTTTGCATGTGATAGAATACTGCATAATAACCTTTTGATGACTTAGACTGTTGTTCACTACAAGACTTGTTCTTCTCACAGCGATAATAAGAGCTGAACAAGCGGTTTCACTCCCTACCAGGAAGTGGAGAGAACATTTTTATCTTCACTCCCTAACAAGAAGAGGGGCCGCGTCCTTCAGAATCACACACACACATACACCTAACATACACAACCACATATGCACCTGCTCACGTATCAACATTCCACTGAACAAATGTATTCACTGTTGTATTATTCTTGTGTATAAATAAAGACAAGTGCAAGAACAGAGCGCACATCACAGGGCCCCCACTCTGATGTGAGCGCTCTCTGACCGCCCTTGCAAGTAAAAACTGCAGCGTGTGTTTCTCCACTCTCTGACTCTCCGCTGAAGAAGTGTCTTTTAGAATAAATCTCTTGACAGGAGACTGTATCTTTTTAATTCAAATGCTCTGACTGACTTTGATATTCCTGCCAGTCCAGAAAATTGTTTGAATTTATTGTAAATGCTACATGTATAATTTGCAATTTATTTTTCTGCCACAGACTCCAGATCTACACATTGAACAGGCTCCTCCTCCCCCTCCTCAGCCTCATCGTTTTCCAGCTTCCCACAGCAGTTATGGCCAGATGAGTTCATCAGCGAGTCAAAGATACGAGGTAAGGGCTCCATCGTCATCAAGATATTTCCCTCAGGTCATAAACGTAGAGTCAGACTTCTCTTCAACATCTGAATGTGCAATATATTATTTTCTAAGCTGGCGTTAAATTGTTATTAGAACAAAAATACATGCATGGAACCTGAATCTTTGTTGAATCAAATAGTATTATGCATTTTCATTTTCTTTCTTTCTTTCTTTCTTTTTTTTTAAAGAACACATCAGATCATCAATCCAGGCCTCCCTCTGCAGGCTCCACACATCTAACTCCTGTTTTTCCAGCTCTTTCTCAGGAATCACCAAACGTAAGTGAGCAAACTAAACCGCAAACTTAAAGTGATGCACTACAGAGAACGCTTCTTCTCTGAGCTTCTCTGAACCTATACAAGCAAACATAGTGTTTTCACCGGTTTATAGATCTGTTCTTCATCTCCCTCCTGCTCCCCCATGCAGCTCTACGGCAGCCCATTAAATGTATGGGAACATTTTTGAAATTTAGCACAACAGTTGGTGACCGTCCCCTGATTAATTTCTCCAAGTTTCGTGTCAGTATCTTGAGCTACCAGCCAAAGCTGGTCAAAGCTGGACCTGTATTTAAACACATCCCTTTTGAAGCAAACGAGTTTCAGTTTGACTAAATTCGAATGAATAAGGTGGAGACACCCTCACACAGGAAATGAGATTATATTTCAGCAACTGTTTACATCTCTTGCCACAAAACTTTGTTTCTTGATCACTGGCTACAGTTGCCACGTCAACTTTGACCAGCTAAACTGCCTGGCTATTCACTGTTGCTTGCAACTATAGTCGAGATAATATTTTACCAGAGTTTTAGTAATATTGTGGCAATGTTGGTCCAACCCAGCAGTAAACAGCAGGAATACTCAGCTCTGTAAAATGTTGGACTACACTCAGATTTTTGTTCATACTCAAGCACATCATGCAACTACAACTTGAGAGGAAGTAGGTCGTTGATTCTCAGACCACAAACCGGACTAACAAACTTTTCTTTTCATCTCATCTCCAGGAATCCCCCAGCAGCAGCACTATCTCAGGGAGAAACTCTTCGCCTTTACGAGTATGAGAGTTGGTCCTTGGATGCACGCCATCACAGCGATTAACAGTGCAGAAAAGCATGCGCTCATCATTAAGAGATGGAATGACAGATAATAAAGACTTTACACCACACTCATATTACGTGTCGAGCACTGACAAGCACACTTTATCAAGGTCAACCCACAAAGGGAATTTTTGGGATTATTTTTAAGCATTAAGATTAGTAATAAAAATATTTCTTGTCTGTAAAAAACCTAATATGCCACTGGTTCCAGAAACGACTTCCTGATCCAACCTGTTCCATTTATTACTTTTGAAAAATGCTTTTTTATTTCCATTAGATCTGTTTTTATTCCCTTTTCTGGATTTGGTTTTGTCTTTGGAGGATTAATCTGTTGAAAGATCTGCTTCTGGTTAAATGCTAAATAAATGTGTAATTTGCACTTTATTTTTTGCCACAGAATCCAGATCTGCATATTAAACAGCCTCCTCCTCCCCCTCCTCGGCCTCATCGTTTTCAAAGTCCCCCCCAATATTATGAAACACAGTCTTCAGCGAGTCAGAGATACGAGGTAAGTGCTCCATGCTCGACAAGATATTTCCCTCATGTCATAAATGTAAAGACAGACTTCTCTGAGACATCTGAATGTGAATTGTAATATTTTCTAAGCTGGAGCTAAATAAGTATTACAATAAGAGGACATAAATAGGACCTGACTCTCTCTAGTTAAAATAGTATTATATGAAATATTTGTCTTATGTTAACTTTTTGTGTGTGACTAGAACAAGCCAGAATGTCAGTCCCCACCTTCCCCTGCAGGCTCCACGCATCTAACTCCTGTCTCACAGGCTCGTTCTCAAGAATCACTGAACGTCACTGGAAACAACTACAGTACACGGGTAAACTGCAAATTAAAAGTCATGCAATATGGATACAGACTTCTCTCGGGTTTCACAAACTAATGCTACACAGTGTTTATATGTTTTTACATTATCTCCCTCCTGCTCTACCATGCAGGTCCATAGCAGCTCACATATTTTTTTGTGAGTTAAAATTTCTGAAATTTGTCACAACAGCTGGTGACGGTCCACTGATTAACTTGTCCAAGTTTCAAGTCTGTACGTTGAGTTACCAGCTGATCGCTTTTAAAAAATATCTCTATGCTTCATCACGCTATAAAGTCACAGTTTTTTATTGAATTTCATAAGCCACAAATTCTTTTTCAAGCATTTACATTCAAGGCAACCGGCCTCTTTGAAGAAGTGGGCTTTCTTTCATGATCTGTACTGTTGAAAGGCCTGCCAGTCCTGAACACCAAGTCATTTTAAAACTAAGGCACTTGGATTTTATATCTAGTAGTATATATAAAATCTAGGGACCACGGCTTCTGTGGGAGGGGTAGCTGCAGTGGTGGGGATCGTCCTAGCTCCGGTGACCATGGGTGCCTCGCTGATTGCGACAGCTGTCGGCGCTGGCATGATTGCATCTGCTGGAGGTATGGGCGCTCACGCCGCTATAGTCAGCAAGAAGATGGTGACGAGGACGGCAGTTGAGAAACTGGTAAATGACTACATGGAAGGTGTCGCTGATCTGGAACGCTGTCTAGATTATATTATCTTCACAGTGATGGAGCTGCGAAGGCACGGCATTGCTAGGTTAAAGAGTGCAGGCGCTCATCTGGATGCGGTGAGGATGTTATACATATTATGTGATGGAAAAAGCAACACAGACATTCATGGGGGGAGAGCTGCACAACCAGGTGGGACGTCATCTGAGAAATTACTTCGAGCTTTTACCAAGGAAATGGATCTTTATTTTACAGAAAAGAATGGTCAGAAGCTGAAGAAGTCAAATAAGAGCATTTTTTCGGGTAAAGTTTGCCTGCTGGTTGATGGTCTACAGGAAGGACTGGATCATCTGATTGACATGTGGAAAAAGTTATCTTGAATCAAAGACCACTGTGTTTGTCCTTTGTGTGTGTGTGTGTGTGTGTGTGTGTGTGTGTGTGTGTGTGTGTGTGTGTGTGTGTGTGTGTGTGTGTGTGTGTGTGTGTGTGTGTGTGTGTCAGTGTGACAGAGATGTGAAGTGTGTTTGACTTGACTCCTTTTTGATTGATTTGAAAGTTCCTGTACATTTACATCACTGTAAAAATGGAAATGCTTATGTTGGAGTCACTACTGAAGTCCTGATAACAATTATGATTAAATATATAAATTAACAAAAGTTACTCTTGTATGCATTTAATCGTGTGGTATCAATAAACAGTACTGCATCACCTGCAAAGTTGAGTATCAGTAATTACTTTTTATTTTTTTAGGACACCAGTCAGCGACAGTGGCTGCAGTGCAGAATACAAACAATGGCAGAAATCATAAGGTTATGCTGCAGAAGGATATCACACTCCTTGCTTTAGCTTTAGCTTCACAACATACACCTTGTTTTCTTCACCTCGCTACACCTGTGTTATGGTATAAAAAAAAGATGAATGTTTGACTCATTAAGCGCAGCACTCCCTCAGAATTCGGATAATCTCAAGGATCTTGGGGTTATTCAAAGAACCTTGTTCACCTTGTAGTTTTCTTACGGAACCTTTAATAGCTCAATTTAGGAAAAATAAAAAGGTTACTGGAGGAACCTCTATTAATGCTTGAGGGGCTCCTGCAGGAACCTTATTAAAATGCTTCCATCAAGATCCTTTTATAAAGTTCAGTGCAGGACTAACTGATGCTGAAGAGGCTGATAGTTGTATAGTTGTAATCATTCAAAATATAACAATTTCAAATCTCAATATTTTCATAATATAGATCACATGTGCATTATAGTGCCAAAAGCATTCACTTATCCATTGGATCACTGAATTCAGGTGATCCAGTCACTTTCATTTTCATAGGTGTATAAAATCAAGCACCCAGGCATGCAGACTGCTTCTTCAAACATTTGCTCTGTTTGCAAATGTAATTATGGTGTTGGGTCGTTTTTCAGGAGTTGGGTTCAGCCCCTTAGTTCCAGTGAAAGGAACCCTTAATGTTTCAGCACACCAAGAGATTTTTGACAATTTCATACTCCGACTTTGTGGGAACAGTTTGGGGATGCTCCTTTCCATAACTGCGCACCAGTGTACAAAGCAAGGCCCACAGAGACACGGATGAGCAAGTTTTTGTGGGATATCAAACGGGAGATATCACATGGAACCCTACAGATTAAGAATGGGAAGTCACTCAAGTTCATATACATGAGAAGGCAGATGAGTAAATACTTTTGGCAATATAGAGTACCTTTTATGCTGACATAATGCTTAACAGCTTACTAGCTTTAGGTGGCACACTTAGTTGAATGTTATGAGAAGAAAAGCATTGTCATTAACACCAGTCAGACCAGATAATTAATCATAAACGTCCCACCTGTGGGACCTACACCTTGTGGTGAACACTGTGTGGAATGAGCATGTGCAATCACATAGACACACAGATACAGACTAATGCAATCTAGCACAAACAGAGTGAGGAACTGCTTTTCCACTGAGCTGTGGCCTCCAGCAACCCTCACCCAATCCCACATACACTATAATAACCGTCAGGACTGTTATTACACTCTATAATCACTCCCTCTGGCATAATGATGTTTTTTTTTTATTTATTTGTTTTGGGGTTTTTTGTTACTATTTATTCTTTTTTGATGGGTATAGGAGGGATGCCAGTGGCACTTGTGTAACAACAGCACAGTTCATCCTTTTCAATTCTGTTAAAAAATTAACCACCCAAAAGTAGTTCTTTGAAAAAACCTTCCTGTTAGAGGAAACTTTATAATAAAGCTATTGCTATGTTATTATAACAATTAGTCAGTTAGTCGCTATCTATACAGATAAATGGCAGTTACGCTTATATATATTGAAAGATGTGGTATTAATAAATACTGCGTCACTTTCAGAAGTTTATTTTCAGTGACTACTTTTTCAGACAGACAGCAGACAGTGGGTGTGACGCGGATTGATAATGTGGGCACGGCGGATGCATATTGCCACTCCTTGCATCAGCTCTATATCGCGAACTGCTCACAACTATCGCCATTTTCCCTCCTGCGGAACAGACAACGAGCAGATATTGTTGGACACCGCGCTATTTGCCGAAATGGCAGTGTGAAATTGTGCCGCGACCCAGCAGCAGCCAGCAAAACAGTGCATCCAGCCAGTGCACTGAGTCACTTCTAATTCAGCAAAAATGTCGTAAGTATTATTTTTTAACATACCAGCTGTCGGGGACAACCGTCTGGCCTGGGAGCCGGTCTGACGAGTCTGCTGTTATGTTTTTAAATATATATATATATATATATATGCCATACAGTTATTTAATAGAACGCTAAACACCTTTATTTGAAACTATTAAATCAAATGACGACAAAACTGAAGTGACGCAACACGTGTTACTGTCACGATTTGTAACATTTGACGCAGTTTTCGCAAATAAGCTCGTAACATTGTATCTGTGAAAACGCTAAACCCTCTCTCACGCTGATTAATCAAACTTGTGTTCTCATGCCGGCCTCCGAGCGCCAACGTGGCACTCAGAAAATGGTTCGTTTCCTCTTTGTGTCAAAATGGCGGCTCGCTGCAGGCGGACTGAGAACAAAAGTGTAGCTGTTTTGTTTTTTTGTGGGGAGGAAGACGGACTCTTTGACCTCGCTTGCTAGCAGACTTACGTCAGAGTCATAAGACTGGGAGCTGCGCGGAAACACGTGATAGATCACTGGTATTGCAGTCTTGGGGGCAGTGTTGGTAAAAATTAAAAGAATTTGACTCAGGATGATTTTGTTTATACTTGGAACTTTCTTTTCTGTAATAAATGTGAAGTGTGTGTGTGTGTGTGTGTGTGTGTGTGTGTGTGTGTGTGTGTCTAAAATGGTGTTCAGGCATTCAAAAACATTTGTTCATCTTTCTGTCTTCAGGTCCTACGTGGAAACCCTCAGCACTGCTGCATTCGACAGCATAATAGAATTCGAAGCTACCCTAGCATTGTCACGCTCCCCATTTGTGACCAACAACAGCCATTATGACCATGATGATGACCAGCTCACAGTTTGGCCAGGAAGACATGGAGGCCCTTCTCTGGGGGCCTTCCTCTCCCATGGCTGACGCCATGGACTCGCTGTTTTTCCGCCCTGACAAAGAACAACAGAAAGGAGGAGGAAGCTTGGAGGGGGATGCTGAACCTGCTTCCCCCCTCACCTCCTCATCGCTGTCGTCTTCCTCTTCTCCTCCGCCCTTCTACTCCCCTCCTCCCTCTCCGCCGGCCCTCCTCCTCCATGGGGACAAAGTCGGGATGGAGTCTGATCTGCTCTTCCCTTTATTGGCCCACCCAGGTCAGCTGACGTGTAGCCAGGCACTCTCAGGTGACGGCAAAGGTAACGACTTACTGTTGAGTAACACCTAAAAGTTCGGACACCTGATGTCAGAGTGTAACGAAGTATAAATTAATAGCTCATTCATGTTTTGCTTGCTCTGCCTCCACAGAGGATGCGCTCAGTGACTTGGACTGGATGGCCGAGAAGGTGGATCTTAGTGACCTTGACCTGGACTCGCTGATTGGCTCCTGCAGTCCTGCTGAAGAGTCTCACAGCTCTCCAGAAGACCTCCTGGCCTCCTTTGATTGCCCCATGGAGCTCGACTCCCTCCCCCTGCCAGCTCTCTCAACTCCTGTGCTCATGGATCCTCCCTCTGCTTCTCTTTCAAGTACACCGCCCCCTTCATCTTCCACTGTCTGTTCAGATACTGCTGTCATCACTGTGGATGATCCTGAATCCTGCATCGATGGGCAGGAGGTTCCTTCTTCTCCACTTTGTATCCCAGAGCCTCAAGAGGAGCTCGAAATCAAATCAGAGCCTACCTCCCCAGACCCTGAATCCCCCGTAGTAGAGTCTCCCTCCTCCCCTACCTTTACCCTGGACCTTGGCAGTGAAGTGGATGTGTCAGAGAGTGAGGTGAAGCCAGTGGTAGCCACTGTGGTCCCTCAGGTCCCAAAGCTTGTACTCTCACTCTCACCAACTCGCATCGTCCTCGTGCTTGCCCCGAAAAAGGAAGTCGGGATCACCACGGCCACCA